GACCCGCAGCCTGCCGGCTTTGGCACTGACCCGCACCCTGCCCCGCATCCTGCCGGCTTTGGCACTGACCCGCATCCTGACCCGCAGCCTGCCGGCTTTGGCACTGACCCGCACCCTGACCCGCATCCTGCCGGCTTTGGCACTGACCCGCATCCTGACCCGCACCCTGCCGGCTTTGGCACTGACCCGCACCCTGACCCGCATCCTGCCGGCTTTGGCACTGACCCGCATCCTGACCCGCACCCTGCCGGCTTTGGCACTGACCTGCATGTGGCCAGACTTCAGCATGGCGAACATGCACTGTGAGGTGTTGAAGGCGTGCCTCCAGTTGTGATAGGCCACATTCTTCCTGTAGTTCTTCTTTACACTGAGGACCCACTGGCAGAGGCTCTGGGGCAACACAGGCAGAGAGGGAGGTAGAGAGAGAGGAGGAGGAAGGCAGATGAGCAGGTAGGAGAAGCAGAGGGAGGTATGGAATGCTAACACTGACGTAAAATCAACTACTAAGAAGCACCATTAGGTAGCACTCATGGCACTTTTTCACCACCACCCACACCCGTGAACACACGGCCCTGTTCACTAGCAGGGCTGAAAGTGAGCTTAAACCAAGCTGGTGGCATCACTGCCATCTGATTGGTCCCCTGCTTAAAAAAGTATTACAAACCAGCTGAATAGATTCATAATGCAAATGTACACATGTGAATGCTAATTCCACTACCATTCGATGGTAACATAACACGATGATTCTCACATCCGTGCTAGCAGAATTTAGCACACAGTAAACCCCGCGTGAACAGTAAACAAGCCTCTCTTCGGTTTTACGTCACTGTCGCTCCCCAAACTCGACAGCGCCTTTACCAAGCTGCAGTGTTTAATCCACGTTCCAGAGATGAGTGAGAATTAAATAGTGAATTTAGTGAGAGACTGAGAAAGCTTCTGGAAAAGAGAGCAAAGGCACGAATTCAGTCAGCCAGCATGCTGTTTTCACACTGTCGGCTCACTGCCTTATCTGTCAGCATTTGCATCTTAATGTGATGTTTGTGTCCAGAGTGAGAGATCATTTCAAACTGTCACCAAGTAATACGGTGGAATATCTGCTCAATCACAGCAGGACAGGTGCTTGGCTGAAGGCTCCAATGGTAGTTCCCCTGCTGAGACACCAACCTTTGATGAATAGCAAAATCAAAAGCCTTTCCCAGACACCGTAGAGATCAAAATGACGTTTCATGTGCTTGGCTTTAGATCGGTTCAATGAAATATGCTACAGGCATAAACAGCGAACAGTGCAAGGCAGGACACACTCACTGACAAGGAATGCTGGTCCTGTTTGGCTACTTTAGCTTTCTTTCTGATTCAACGGTGGGCTGCATTTGTGTAACGTTCACACTCCGAAGGGAAATGGTGGTAAACTGGGTATGGACTATGTCCGGCAGGGAAGAAATGTGCTACCTTGTACTTCATCTGGAAGTTTTGCACCAGGCTGAGGTCCACGAACATGCGCACAGTGGCCTGTGTCGTCTCCATGTCCGATAGGTCGAAGTCACTGAAGCTGAACTCCAGGAGCTGCAGAGACTGGGCCGAAGGGATGGAGGAGGCCTGCGAGGAGAGGAGTGTGAGAGAGTGCACACCACACATGCTTACCCAAAGACACTCTGTACCTGGTAGTATCATACACACTCACCGAAAGACATACAGTACCTAATAGTATCACACATGCTCACCCAAAGACACTCTGTACCTGGTAGTATCATACACACTCACCGAAAGACATACAGTACCTAATAGTATCACACATGCTCACCCAAAGACACTCTGTACCTGGTAGTATCATACACACTCACCG